TACTTAAAAGTTATTTCTAATGAGCCTTATTCCCAATTCGTTTGCTGATCAAGAACATGTATAAAAAATGGCTACCGACTGAGTTGTTTATTGCTAAGGGCAGTGTCTTTTCTTTCATCTTTCTTTTTCAATCGTTTTGATAGTATGTGATAGCAAGACGATTGAGAAAGAAAGATAAAAGAAAAGAGATTGCCTTTAGCAATAAACAAACTAGTCAATGTCCGTTTTTTGTAAACATGTCTGTAGCTAACAAATGAATTGGAAATAAGGCTCATTGAAATTCCATTATAATTATAAATTTTCATTCAACAAAAGCAGGGCGTGTTTGGTGTTATAATTGATAATTTCATTGATTGAAAAACAAAGGTTTAACAGAACAAAGAAGACTTTCACATGTAGTCAGAATAATAAGGTTCTGGAAATTTTTGTTTCCTATTTTATATTTTTTAACTTTATGCCAAGATGATTCTTATACAGAATCATTTTTTAACTACTGTTTGATCTTCTCAAAAACTATATGTAAGAAAATCTCTGATTATGAATGTATAATACACCAGTCCTCACTATTATTCACAACACTCCGAGTTTCTCTTTCTGACATGCCCAAGCTCATAGAAATTTTGCCTACTCGGCACCACCTCATACAAAACTCATTCCTTCAAAAACATATAAACCAGCTGAACAATGTTTGAATTTCAGTGTTTGAGTGAGAGAGAGACCTGCTCAAAAGTCATATCTTGGTTGCTTTATTAGTCTCTCTCTGATACGAGTGTACATATTCTTATGATTACTATTAAACTTCGATTCTGATTTCTATGATACAAAAACATTCCCAAATAAAGTCTAAAGGAATTGAATAACTTTCATCAAAATGAATATATTTTATATTTAAATAAACTGATAATGATGAATTAAGTATTTTTGGTAACAATATTGATGATAATATTTTATAAGATAAACCCAGTTTATTAAAAACAATTCCGTTTTTATTTATTGAAAATATTGAATAAATAAGAGAATTAAACAGATATTTTAAAGACCATAATGATATTAATATTTCATTCCATGATAGATAACAAAACACATTTGATAAAATTTCATTTGGCAATATTTCTAATGTTTTTAACATTTTTTATCTTAAAATAAACATAAAAAATAATTTTCTTTTTCTTCTATTCAAGTGAAATTTCGAAAAATATTTAAAAAAATCATCATTTACTTATTTCATTCCTCATTTGATTATTTTTTCAGCTAAAAATCAAAACAAATCAAATAGTTTTTATTAGAAGGGAGATTATTATTTTTCGTAGTAAGCTTAAGCAGTTGGATGAAAACATGAAGGGGAGATGATAAGAGAGAAGTCATTTACATCAGTGATAGTATAGACTTGTTTTCGACAGTAAAGATAACATTAAGACTTTCTTCTTTGGAGTCTGTTTTCATGCAAATGGAGAACCCATGAAATCTTACGAGCAATTCGTAAAAACTCACAGACAATTTGCCACGAGAGAAAATCTTTCGCACCCTGTTAACAGTTCTATTTCGTGTCACAATCTTCAAAAAATATCTTTTTAGATTCAGTCAAAAAAGTCTCTCGATATTTTTACAGCCGAAAGCAGACACGCCCATGATGAGTGATTAAACAACATTGAAACAATATATCACCTTGTTTCCAAAAATCATCATTGGATGTCATTTAGTTTCCAGAATGATATCTTAACTTCTCACTACAGATCACAAACTTTACTATAGATTATCTTTCAGTTTCAACAAAAACTCTAATCTGTTGATTAGACTTAGTTAGAATCACATCGCCGAGCTTTCTCGGACTAAAGACTATCTATCGTATGTAAAAACCATCGGGTTTCTAGATATGGTAGATCTCATACGTTGACCGCAAAGGTCTCATATCATAAACTGTCTGCCAGATTCGCCAAAAATTACAAATTGTGTGCCCAATCGGGCAGAAACTACGGAGTGTCTGTTAAGTTTTTCCGAAACCATAGGTTGTCGGTTAGATTTGGCAAGAACTAAACATCATCAGTCAAATCTGAAAGAAACTAGAGATTATCTGTCAGATTTTCAAAAACATTGACTGTCGACCGGATCTGGCAGAAACCACAGATTGTGTGAGAGGTTTAGCAAGCTGTTCGATCGACAATTTTCCAGATATTGAAAAACTGAAGAGGGTAGTCCTTTCTTCATCAAGACGGATGTACATCATATTTATTTGTTCTTCATATTTAACAAATCAATACCAGAAAACGTGCTGGACAAATCATTCGAATAGAACTTCAGTTTGACAACCATTTCTTTATGTCAACAAATCGATGAAAGAGAAAATCTCTTCTATGAATTAATTATACTTAAAGCCTATGAGAAAAGAAGAACAGTTGTAGTTTAAAAAAAACGTTTTTTATGTCTATCCCAAACAATGGGTTATTTCGTTTTTCTTAGGAAAAAATCCTAAGAGATAACCAGATCCAAATCCTCCCTAAATACACGACAGTAATAAACAAAACAAAAAAATATTTTCAGTACATTGAAAATATTACATATTTCATTAAAATGTCACATACAATAACTTGCGTATTATTGCACAGTTTTTAATTAAAAATATTTAAATGAGTAATAAGCTTTTGTTTTATATAAAGAAAAAAAGATTTTAATCATATTTTTTTTAGTTTGATATTATTTAATATTACAGGAAAAAGCAACGTCAATTATATAAATGGCAGCATATTTTTTGTTAGTCTATTGTGCACAAGAAAAATGTCTCTTTCTTGACATTTTTCTCTCAAAATGAACCAATTTGACGAGAAAGTTCATTTCCGGTGAAAAAGAATTTATCAACATTTTTTCTTCTTGATTAATATCTTGTTATTGGTCTATTCAATTTTTGACATTTGGTATGTAGTCTGACGACATAAAGCGTGACAAAAAATGACAGTTGACGACATTTCCTTATTAGTTTGATGCAGGGGTGTCCCGAAGCAGAAAAAATTGGGGGGGAAGTCGCCGATTTTTTCGGAAATTTTTTAAAAATTTCTTCAAAATTAGCGAAATTCTCAAGAAATTTGTCGAAAATTATCGAGCAAGAACAATGAAATTTCCAAAGATTGGGATTGGAGGAAATGACCCCTCGTGCTCGAGGCACCCCTGGTTTGATGAAACTCAAAATGATTCAATGAAATTTTCACAAAAAATCAATTTAATTTTTCTAATTTCAAATATCTTTGATATAGTTTCTTATGAAAGGCAGTTCTGAAGATACATCAAATAAAAATATTGTATAACATCGCCCTATTTCCTTCTCTTCTCCTCATTAATCGAAACGATCCAGAAATCAGTTCTTTTCCTTTCTTGTTCATAAGTCAGAACGTAACGAGAACGAATAGGTTTACGGGATCAAAGCAGGGGCGTACCGAACCACTTATAGCGGGGGAAGGGGAGGGTGCGTAAATATTTTAGGGTTTAATACAATATGTCAACTGAAGCTATATGAAAATAGTGACAAAATGAACAAATAAAATAAAACAAGTATTAATAAAAATTCCATTTTTTATGCATATTCTACTGTCTATCATTTTTATCTAATCATTGACCAACTTTCGGTCACTGTCTGCAAAGACTCGTTCTATCTGTTTTTTTTGGCTCAAAGCAAAAGATTTAGTAAATAAACACTTTGTTTAATTAGAAATATTTTGATGTCATCTTCTTACGCGTTGATAAGTCGCTAAAATTTCCTATATAAATATTTTATATTTTACAGTGATGGAGCATTGTTCCAAAACAGAGATATGTTCTGTCACTAAATTCCAAAAGTAGGAGGAGGGGGCATAACATCAGTAAATTCCAGAAGCAGGGGGAGGAGCGTAACGCCCCACTCGCCATTCCCTCCCCCGTTCGATACGCTCCTGTGGTCACATAAGATTTTTTACATTTACTTATTGTTCCAAATGCAATTTATTATCTGATGACCGATTAAGTTGACATAATTGAATTATAGTTGAAGCAAGCAATCGTAGACAGCACCGTATATAAGATTTTATCATTATAGTTCTTCAAGCAACTAGGTAAACGTCACGTGTACTCTTTTCGTATTGACTCCGTCATTATCTCTTATTAAAAGTTTCCAAAATCTATAGTTAAGTACTGCATGACGGTATATAATTAATAGTTCTTATAAAGTTCATTTTATACCATCCAGTAGTTCACGAAAGAATGCTCTGAGACCTTTCTCATAGGCATCATATTTTGTTTTAGGTGCATGCTATTTAAAATACTTTTTCTATTATTGTTAAGATCTTGGCAATGTTTTTTGGCGCTGCTTCATATGTGAATCAATAGTATTCGTTGACTGCTATAAAACGCTCTTAAGCATTATTCTTAAAAACATCCGGTTGTCAAGTTTGATCGCCGTTAATATTAGATTGTTTTCGAGTGCATGAAAATAATATATAGGTTTTCAAATACTATTGATGCGTTGTGCTTTCGTTAAATGGTAGAGATTACTCTAATTTCTTCCCATGTAAAAACAATGACCGGAAAAATCAGATTTTAAGCAGTTTTTTCCTGATTAATAATCGATTAAAATCTAATTTTTCCGGTCATTTTTTTACATGAGTTCTAACATTTCACGAATGTATCTTTCTAGTCTTATGCTTCCAACGAAAACACTTGTCGAATAAAACCTCAGTTTCGATCAACCGCGAAAGTTAGACCACGTACTCGGTTTTTACAAGCCGGTCAAGACCGCGATTGTCTCTATTCTCGCTGCGGTGTTTTCATATCACGGGTTTGATCGATTTGTAAAAACCGAATATATGGTCTAACTTTCACGGTGTATTCGAAATTTTTTTCCGTGAATTGTGGACACACAACCAAAATAGATGTAGTAGTCCCGCGCGATTATTAAGGTCTATACGAATATCTGCGTTGTGACTTTGGTGAGGGCACGAGTATGAGTGTACGTATGCGTGTTTATGTCGTCAAGGATGTTAACGAGTTATTCTGATCAAATAGTTCCTCCGTAGCATTTTTAGTGTTGCCCCGAAAAAATTTTCGGTGAAAGGTAGTAAATAATTAAGTTTACAACAAAAANAATCATCAATATAGATTATTGAAGAATGAAAAATATTTGAGAGACAATTGAAAAGATAAGAAATAAATGATGAATTTGAATAAGTTTTTAATGTAATTATAATAACGGAATTTTGTTTTTGGAAAGTTTCTATTTGAGAATTCATAGTATCGTTCTGCGATTGATGATAATTATTATTTAATTGTGTTATTGGATTTAAATTAGTTTCAATTGATAATTGATCTGCCGAGGAAAAATGAAATTGCGTGCTATATGAACAATAATTGTTTAAATATAATTGATTATTATAAGAACAATTCGATGGATATTGATAATAAATATTTGATGTTTGAGAATAAGAATCCATCGAATTGTCGTTCATGTTATATGGTATCGAATTTCCACAAACTAAACGATTATCAAATTAAAAAGGCATAGTAAACTGAAATATATTTACCTGTAACAATAGAATTTGATGTGGGAATATAATTGTCATTGTGATTGGTTTTAAAAGAATAAGGTGATGAGTAATTATCTGATTTAATAGGATGAGGATTTTCATTGTTATTAGCATAATCAGCTTGATTAATAGCATTTAAAAATTGATATTTTATTTGTGGATAAGACTCATAATGGAGAGTTAAATTTTTTGACATATAATCTCGGTATTGTCGATATGGTAGAATATCAATCGTCCAATTTGTTTGATTATATTCAAAAAATTCAATAAGATAAGACCAGGATTGATCTTGTAAATAATTATGAGTAGATACTGTATCAATTACATTGTTCGATATAGATAATATTCTTCCTGGCCAATATGTACCATCATGATTACGTCTTGCCCAAATAATTTCACCAACATTGAATCCTTTAGAAAAGAATTTTTATTTTTCCTGCGAATCATTAAAACAAAAGAGAAATAAGCTATTTACCATCAGAAAATGTTGCTGATGCATGATAAGTCATTTTTTAATATCGTTTCTAAAACAGCTATTTTGTATGCAAGTTTCAAATAAAATGCACGCATATATTTCATTTTTCTTGTTTCTTTGAAGAAAATAGAGAAAAGCAAATAATACATTTTTGTCTTAAATTAAACAAATGATTTTTACTTCGATAAAATAGAAACGAGCAGGTGTGTGTCCGACTAAGACAACTGTGGCACAATGTCAATAGACATTTAAAGCAAAAGATCAAGACATGCTCACATCGTTTACTTATTCTTGTTTCCAAAAAAGAAAAATAGATGATCAAACGAGAGTGTAAATGTATTCAATTAATCATTTGTATTAGATCGGTAATCGATTACTTTTGGTCAAGAGCAAATATAATCGAATATATTTTAAATTTTTACATGATTTTTCTTAAGTACTTTATTTTTAAAATGTTTTCAAAAAAAAACAAAAAAAGAAATTACAATTACAATTACTATTAATAGAAAGAAAAAAAACAAAACCGCAATTCTTTTACTATATAGGAACATGTCAAACGAAAGAGACAATGATGGTATATTATTAACAAATCTGACGCACATACACAAAAACGATCATTTTTTACTATATTTAGAAATGAATTACTATTCAAAAAGAAAAAAGAGCAGAAATACTATAAATTACTTTTCATGTAGAATATTTTGTACATAATATTCACATATAGGTGGAGGTATATGTGTTTTAATAGCACAACTTTGAAATAAATCATTCATTACTATTGATTGTTTTGATTTATTTTTTAATATATCTTCATTTGATTTATGAATTAATTCAAGTAAATTATTACCATTTGATATTTTATTTATTGATAATTGAGGAAATAATTCATTAATAACCTGTTGATTATTTCTGAGAAAATCAGATTCAAATTTTTCATTTAATGTTTCTTGAATTTGTTCATTGATAAAATAATTAAGAATATTTGTTGATTGAATAACTGATGAAATACAATAAGCTGAATATAATTGTTCTTGTTCATTATCATTTGATTCAATATATTTTATTTTCGAACATAAATATTTCAAAAATGTTGATCGAATCATTTCAAATATTGTTCGATTACCTGAACATAATAATAATGATTCATTATCAAATGTTGAATGATAATGAAGAATCATTATAGTTCGTTTATCTATTATTATTGAATAGAAATGTTTTATAAGTTCATATGATGGTGTATTGATAATAAGAAATAAATAATTAATATGTGCATTAAGATTATTAAGTATAGTTAAATTTAATGTTTGTTTAATAATTGAATCAAAATAATCAAAACATATAAGATAATAAATATTATATGTATTTGGATGTTGATAATTTATTAAATCATCAATATAGATTATTGAAGAATGAAAAATATTTGAGAGACAATTGAAAAGATAAGAAATAAATGATGAATTTGAATAAGTTTTTAATGTAATTATAATAACGGAATTTTGTTTTTGAAAATTATCTGATGAAGATATATATTCAAGTTGATGATCATTTTCAGAACATAATGGTGGTGTTATTGATTCAACTAATAAACCTTGTTCTTTATACCAATCATTATTTGTAGTTAACATTTCATTAGTGGTACTATTATTTGTTGTAAATGTATCGAATGATTGAATTGGGCAATTCAATGATGGCGTAGATATTTGTTGATATGATGGATTATAATTTCCTAAAAATATATTTTGTTAAGAATACAATATGTATGTTTAATTTATGAAGTAAATGTCGAATTTTAAAATCTTAATACATTTGTTTTGATATTATAGAATTAATTAGATCTGATCTTATGAAGTGACGATTTTAGAGAGATAGTTGAAGATAATTGTTCTCGGTTTTTCCGAGCAAGCAAAGCTTAAAAATGAGCTGATACTGGCTCTAATGAGCTTCAAAAGATGTTTTACAATCATGACCATTCCCTCATCTTCACTGTATGACCCTTCTCGCCCATGGTCACCGAATCCGTGTAAGAATATGCTTTCAAAAATGTCCTAATGGCAATGTGATTGACTTTTCTTTCTTGTAGAAAAATGTCCTTAATATTTCATCCTTGAAAAAAATGCCCTTAGTGAAAGCGTCCTTGAAACATTGTCCCTGATATAATAATATATCTCATCTTGTATTGTTGTTTTTTAAATAGAATATTGCTAAAACGTAGATGTAGGTGTAGAGTGTGAACTTGACTGTAAGAAAACAGAATACTAAGTCACATGCTTATCCTTGCGTGCACATTCTCACCCACATCGTTTACCTTCTCTTCGAAAAAATAGTCGAATACCACCTCGTACAAAATGGTCTAAATCCAAAATTACTAAACAACGAAGTAGAAAATTATATGATCAAATCAATAAGAACAAAACTACAGCGCAAGTTTTATTACGTGCAATTTTTGTTTTTTTATCGCGAATGAAAAATAAAATAAAATCACATGATTAACATTATCGTCGAGCGTTGTTTATATGTTATTGGAAGAACATTTTGATAATGGGATCCTTTTTCCGAAGAACCATATCACTAAGAAGCATTTATTAGTGATATTTTTTACCAATGATATTTGCTCTAAAGGATATTTTTCCCAAGGACGAAACGTCGAAAACATTTTGTCAAGGACATTTATAAAAGGAGATTGTAGATTTTTACCGAATTACCTTTCATCATGAAAACCTTCGATCTACCACTATTTCTATGGATTAGAAGGATCACTAGGAATACTTGTATAGTAATGAAAAAAAGATTTTCCATTGTAAATATTTGTTGTTGTAAGTAAAATTAGAATTCTAATATTGACTAGATATTCATCATTCAAAACTATAATTTCAATATTTCATGGGCAACATTAGAATTCTACTAGAAATAAATTCATACAAGCAAAATCGAATTACAATTTTTTTGTAAAACATGATCAAAAAAGGAGTTTTGAAGTATATAAAGCAGCAATTTACACCTCTCTACATAGACTGTAACAGACACTAGCTAGAGACCATTACAGACATGAAATACGTTGTTGATATACCCCCGCAGATAGTATATCAATAATGGCTCGTTACAATATCCTAACTACAGTTCTTATTGCATTTATGGCAGATTAAGTTAAAGGAGAATGAAGAAATGTATCCCAAGATACATAGAATTAGACAATCTCTACGTGATTAGCAATAACAGTAATACTGTAATTTACATTTTTCTATTCCGTAGGGATTGCACTAAAAGCTTTCTTATTTAACAATATTTTTTTCTATCATTAAACAATTTACAAGTCAAAATATTCTAATCTATTCATTCATATTTATACAACCATGTAGGTTTGAACGACGTTTTGTTGCACAAAAAAAAACTCCTCTTTGTTTTTTACATAGACATTATTTAGTATAGTATTTGCTTTCATAATTGCATATGCGATCGTTAGTTGAATTCAACTGAGACAATTTTTTTTTGTATTGTAATGAGTACATGTCTATTTACATAGCTTATCAACACAATCGGTACGATAACAGTTTTCTCTCAAACTTCAAAGCTCTACCTATGTGTACTCTTTAATATTCTCCATTTTTTAAAAATTATTATGAAACAATACTTCATTGCTTTCTAACAGAACTCAAAAGAATAAATAAGATTTAAATGAAAAGAATTTCAAGCTTTTGAAATCTTATTTTATTTTTGCTTACCTGGATTTGAGGCAAACATTGGACTTGATATCAAGAGAAAATTGTTATCGGTATTATCTTCACTTGTAGGCAGTGAGTTTTGTTGTTGTGAGGTCATCGCACTCATTGAAGTTAAATGATTACTATTCATATATATTTCATGATTACAAGCACAATCAGCTTGATTAACAGCATTTAAAAAATTTTGTTTTATTGTTGGATGAAGACCATAATGAATAAATGATTCATTTGTCATAGAATCTCGATATTGACCATAACATAATATATCTGTTGTCCAAATAGATTCATTCGTAGTAAAAAATTCAATATGATAATTACATTGTTGTTGAATATTATCAAATAATTCTGATAACCATAAATTATTTGTATTATTTGATATCATAGTAATCTTTCCGGGCCAATAAATATTATTTTTATTACATCTAGCCCAAACAATTTGTCCTACCGTAAAATCCATGAAAAAAACAAAATACTCGATAAACAATATTCTACAAAAAAAAATTGTCATTCAAAATTTTTTTATTTAAATTTAAAAAAAATCAATCTATTTTTCTCAGTTTAAATAAATTTTTCCTTTTTTAACACAGTAAAAAAAAAACAAAATAAAAACATAATTTCAAATACATCCAGAATAGAATAAAGCACAAATCAATGATCAAGAGTATTTATATGTTCTCAAGTATAACACACATACACACGTTTGCAAAACAATCCTCTTATATATGTTTAATTATCACAAAAAAAAAAAAAAAAATAGAAAAAGTAATATATATATATATATATATATATATATATACTTTTTTTTTTTATCAATAAGCAGAAAAAGAAATTATTAATTGCACCAAAATGAAAGAAAATAAATACTATAAAGTATCATAATCGGGCATTTATCATTTCTTCTTCTTTTTGTATAACAATAAAAAACAAACTATTCACATAGGTTTATTTGATGCATGATCGTTTCTCAAATGCATTAAATAATCATTATGTGCATGAAACATTCGATGACAAAATTGACATTCAACTTTATTTAAATGATCAGCAGCAACTTTAGCTAAACGTCGTTGTCGTTCATCAGCAGATACATTAGATCGTATAGAATTATTTCCACATGATAAACATTCAAATACAAGACCTTGTTGTTTTGGAAATTCATGTTGTGTTATATCAACTAATTGTTTAAAACCACAACGTGTACATGTAGGTTTTCCTGATGTTTGTTTTTGAATTAGATTTGGTCGATTTTGTTTAGAAATTTTTGATGAAGATTTTGAAGATTTATTATTAATTGAATTTGATTGATGATTAGATTTTTTCGATGATTTTGATGTTTGTTGTTGTTGTTGTTGCTTATTTAATGTTTCAATATCATTATTATTATTCATTTGATTGACTGTATTTGACTTTGTTTCCGTGATGCTTGATGTTTGTGTCTGAAAATAGATAAAAATCAATATGATTATATTCATCGATTCAATCTTTATTGTTACTGTAGTCTTCCAATGAAACTAATGGAAATAAAATCATGTTTATGAATGACACGGTTCTTTCACTTAACTTTAATCAGAGAGATGTCGCGTGGTTCTATCGATATGAAAAGAATATTTTTTTTGTTGGAGCTATCATTTTTGAAATTTGATTAATAAATTTCGGAGTTTAAGCAAAAATTCATGAAGTCTAAAATTATGCGATAAATAAATTTCAATTCTAATAGCTTTAACATTATCAAGTAAAAATACTGAATGGAAATAAATAAAAAGTTAGCATGGTTAATTGATAATTAATTTGTTTGAATATTTCAAAAATAGTCTATCTATGTTTCCCAATGAAAAACACAAAGAGAAACAATAGTTTCGATCATTATTGAATTTAATCTACATAGAAATGAACAAAGTTCAATCTATGAAAATTAAAATCTAATATGAGAATCTTTCTGGATGTCATGTTACTTCTAAGTAGAGATAAAATATCATTAAACGAATATATCATTCGTCTTATTTAGATTGATAGATGTATAAAATTGAGTTAAAATCATTTTATTGGACGTTTATGTCTTACAGTATGATTTCAATTAATCAAATCAAGTTAAAAATCTTTACTAAGTTATATTATTTATAAAAGAGTCTTCGAATCATTAGAATATCTTGCTAATTGTAGATAAAATGAATGAATTTCTTTTAATATATTGAATTATTCAAAGTCATCTATCTAAAGAAATAGTTAAGGAAATTTAAAATTTTTGTACGTTCAATATCTTCAAAGAATGTATTCACATTATTGAAAATTTTCGATGTTGTAGTAATTTCTTTCAGATTTCTTCATGAATTACATTTCAATTTGTAATTTATCGAGTTAGTTGTGCAAAATAATTCGTATCATAGAACTAAAATTTCATTTCAACGATTTAACTCGACATGAGAAACCTATCTAATTGATTTTTCTTAAAAATATTCCAGTTTCAAGATCTTCTACCTATGTTCGAAATTGAGTCAAATACTTCGAGCAGTTACTTCTTCAGCTAAAATTCTATTTAAAATATTTTATCATGTTCTATACCTAAATCTGACAAGGAAGCATTCAGAACTGTCGGACACTGTTCAACCTGACATGAGGAGGAAGAATAGATCTTTGTGAGACTAAGAAAAATCTCTAAAGATTCAGATTTATTATCTACTCTTGAAGAATTTTTTATTATCTTACTAAAAATTTTAGACAGAGTAAAACATTGTCTTTAGATAGAACTAATAATTATTAAAAAGTTTTGAAAATTTCAAAAAAAACAAGTGTATTATTGTTGAGATATTAGGTTGTTGAAAAAATAGTAGCTCATCAGAGAAGAATGCAAAAGACAAATCCACTTGAAAGTTGAGTATTTTGAAAACAACACATTTGTTTTCTTTGAAACTTTCACAATTTTTTAATGATTATTTGTTCTATTTCAAGGTAACATTTCAAAATAAAATTTTTTATTTTGATATTTTCAAAAAACTCGTACTCTAACGAAAGAATTCAATCAAATAGCCGTAAATCTTCATCAGTACACCATAGGTTTGAATTCTTTGAGAATTTGAATCTACTCATAGTCATAATATGAAATTGAATGGCATCCGATAGTTGTGAATTTTCTCTTATAGGTCGACCAAATGCGACCTTGTCTATTAGTCTGGAATGTATTACATAATGAAAATATCTCAATTATCTTGTGAAATTGATATCTTATAAAGTTACCTACCAAACTATTTCAAGCATAAAACCGAACTTCTGAATAAATCTATCATTAAGTTGATTTAAAAAAACATTATAAAACTATCTTTGTATCACTAATAATTTCCAGTATGTATATATGTATACAACGGATGTCCAATAATAAATAGCCTACTGTTGTTTTCTCTCTCTTTACGACATTCAGTAATTGTTTTAGATTCCAATACTGATCTCACTGGATAGAGAATTTCATTCTCTATAAAGTTGTTGACTTGATTCTTTCAAATAAATTTTTCATATCGGTGTAAACTTCTTCGCCCAAATATTTGTTCTAATATTTTGAAAGTTACATCGAAAGATAAAGAATTTTAATGTAAAATATGTTAGTATATGCCATATTTGAGTGAATCCATTTTTTGAAAAAAAACTCTCTAAGTTTCTCGATTTTTTTTAAGCTTTTGCATCGATTACGGGTATTACTTTATTTTTGTTTTATAAGATGAATATAAATACGACAATAAATTCTATATATCTATAAAATAAAGAATAAAAAAATGATTTCTTTCTATATCATAGGTTATATAGACAAATACGTAGCATAAAAAACGCTAGATGTTAGCCAAATATTCTATCTTATCACCAACATTACATATGTATATGATATTGCTAAAAACATTAAGTTAACACATAACAAAAGTATATACGATAGAACTTTTCTGTAAATTTTACTTTTTATCTATGATATCAAAAATTTTTGTTAACTACTTTTGTGTTTACAAAATGTAAAGATTTTCTTTATATTGATTCGTTATTATAGAAGAGAAATAGGAATAAAATAACATTCCTCGAATCGATATGATTGAATAGATATGAAGCATGTCAACATTATGTTGATGCTAAAAATCCCTTTGACATATACAATCCATAATTTTCTGAAGAATTGAAGATATTATCCAATGAGACCAATATAAGAATTTGAAACAATTGTGAAATATCTCAACAGTTAAAATCACTATTTATTATGAGACATCCGTTTATTTTCGTTGCTTAAATTATCTGTTTTCATCCAAACTATGGTACAAGAAAAAACAATATTTTATTGAAACGATGTAAAAATACAAATCCGATTGAAATTTAAAAAAAAAATAACGAAACTCATTCTTTCTTCCTAGTTGAAGGAAATCATTGCTTAATAGGTTAAGTAGCAGTGTTTTTTATTAACATGAAGATTGTATATCATATAATACTCTTACTTGTGATTGCAGATTTGAATCAAAATATTCATCAGTTTGTGAATAATATTGTTGCTGTAATAAATGATTACTTTGAACATCAGGTGGCGTTAATACTGATGATGTTACTTGATTTTCTTGTGGTGTTGCTAAACAAGATGGTGTATATGATTGAAAAAAATTATCATAAATATCATCGTCATTGATTAAAGATGATGCTGATATACTTGATAATTTATCTACTGATGTTGGAGTTAATATTTCACTAATAATTAGTGTTGATCTTGATGTTAATGGTGGTGGTGGTGTTGATGAATTAAAATGTCCATGTGCTTGCACTAGAAATCCATCATCTATCTCAATATGATCATGATCTTTTGTATAATTCATTTGTTGTTGTTCATGATTAGAATCATAACAATCAATTAGAGTATTATTATGATGTATATTAAGTGTTTGCCATGAATTATTTCTTAAATTGTGATTTAAATTTTCAGTAGATACAACAGCTGTTGTTGCTGTTACGTTTACTGGTGATGATGATGATGATGATGATTTTATAGATGGCTTCGACCATGAAATTAGCTTGTTAACTAAGTTTGGCTGTGACGCAACAGGTGATGCTAGTGTTGTTCTCGATACATCTTGAGGAGACGATGACGTTGTTGTCGGGGGTGGCATATTAATAGTAGATACACTCTGACGTTTTGATTTTGTAGGGTTCGTTGATTTTGATCGGTCTCTTTTTTTACTATTATCTGTTGCTGTTTTTTGTTGCGATAATTTATTCATGTTACTTTGTTCAGTTGAAGACGAATGATTGTTTAATGATGTAATATTAAGAACAGTCGGGCGATTTAATGTTGAAACATTTGAATCAAGAGTTGATTGTTGTTGTTGTTGTTCTTGATTTAATGGTGATTGTAATGTTTTTGTTGTTATTGGCCCATTATGTTCCCAAACAAGTTGAGCTGATAATGGTTGTTTTTTTTGGTGTTGTCTTATAACAGATGATGTTAATTTATTATAAATGGAAATTTTTCCTTTGCCTTTGATAACATCCAATATAGTTTGATCAATTTCTGGCGAACCAATTGTTGTTTTCATTAAATTTTGTGACATTGAAATGTCAAGTTTCACCGGTGATCTTACATGTGATTGCATAGAATATATATCTTGTTCTTTTTCTTGTTCAATATTTCTATTTATATCATTCGTTGAGTCATGTACAGTATTATCTGCTGATTCAGTTATGGTCGTCTTTAAAAGAAAAATAAATAAATAAATAAATAAATAAATGTATGATATTTGAAAAAGAAAAAGATTTAATAAATGAATATTAAAATTTACTTGTGTATTATCTGGAAAAGTGAGTATGTCCTGCAGTTTTTCAGGAGGACATGATAAAATTCTACGACTGTTATTTTGTTGTGTTGATGAAGACTTTAAGTTATTTGTATTTTGACTTTGACAATGCAAATCATCTAAAAATTTGCAAAAAAACATTTTTAGAACATATCACTAATCCTAACAATGGCAGCATAATATCTTATAGAAAGCTCAAAGAAATTCTCTCGATATATATGTACTGATAGTCCAAGCAGTTCTCTAATTATGTTTTATTATTCGTCAGTTGTTATGCTATCATGAGAATTGCGATTAAAACTTTTTACTTTTGATTCCGATCGATAAGGAAAACTTTTCATTTCTACATTTAGTTAATTCGTAATGTAATATATTTTATTTTTAACGATCAGGTTTTATCTTTTAGAATATTATGAATTATTTCATGAAGAAGTTGAAGACGAAACATGATTCAACGGATCTGTAAGCCAATAATTATCGGAACATATAGAATAGATTCTATTATCTTATAAATAATGATCCTTATATTATAACTGATGAATTGCAAGCGAAAATTTATCTGAGTCATATTGCCATCCAATGAATAATCTTTGATCATCGTAAGCTTTAAAAGACTACCGTTCATTGAATATCGAAATAGCTAGCCTTGATGAATTATCATTAAAGATATTGTCGGAATTAGAGGTGTTGTAGGTCGTGTTCTTTTATCTTTAACCTTTCCTCGACCTTCATGAAGCATCCATATCATCCCGCACAGGAATGTAACTCACCAATGAAAGTAGGAGGGTCGTAGAAAGAGCACAGCATAAGCAAATGTCAAAATTGAAGGTCGCTGTGTAGTCAAACTTCAACAGTATGGAAATCCTACATTGACAGGTTTCAAAACCACGTGGTGTTATCCCGAACACATTCTTCATTAATTACGAAATTGATCATTCAATTGTTTCAAGAGATGGAATTTGGTAGCCGAAAATAAAATTTAGTGCAATACAGACTTACTCAGTGTAGAAATGAAAGTTTTCCTGTTCCATTCGAATCAAAAATGAATAGTTATGATCGAAATTCTAATATTATCATAACAACTAAAGAATAGTAAAGTATTAGAGAATCATAAGAATCTATTTGAACTATTAGTGTATATAGAAAGATAATTTCCTCGAGATATTATAGTGCTACTGTCACTCTGTAAACATTTTAAAAAATTCATTTCATACTTTGATTTTGATGTAATAATTTATCTTGATTTATTAAACTATTCTTTCCTATAGGAAGTTGTTTCTGTTGAGGTGGACTAATGGGATTATTATTTTGTTGTCCTTCAATGGGCATTGGTATTGATGAAGTCGTTTGATAACTAAATAGAAAAATAAAACAAAGATTAATCAATGTAATTTTTTTTCTTTGCTTTAGAGAAAATTTACTTTAAAGAATTATTCATAATAGCTCGAGAAAAATTTGAAGTTTGCTGTTGGATATTATTATCAGTATTCCATGAAGGCATTTGTGTTGTTGATAAAGGTGATTGTTGAGAAATCATTGTTGTTAGATTTGATGATAAACCAGTTGTTTTCATAGGATCCGAAGTTGGAAAAGGTAGGGAGGATGGTCTAATTGGTTCTATCGTAGAGAACGTTGACATAGTATCATTTGAATGTAGTTGTGAAGAAAAGGTATTTCGATGAGCAATCATTTGATCATTACATGGTCGAAACATAGTTTCATTTGTTAAGATTGTATTTGATGATTGTTTAATTAAGCTACGAGCAGGACAATTATGATTATGACCTTTGGGTGGATTTGAACAAAGACAAATTATACGCTTTGTATTTGTATTTGTTAACATTGATGACGCACAAGGCATACTTGATGCTTGCTGTAAATCAACTTGTGTTGTCGCTGAAGATATTTGTTTCATTGACGATATTGGACTAAAAAGAAGAAAAAAAAAGAGTATAATATTAATAGTAACTTATGATAAAAAAAAATGTCAAGGATGAATGAAGAAGCAAGGATAACTATAAATCATGTTATAGAAGAAACAGTCAATTTAATTAGATTGATTTTTGTCTGTTTCAATAGTTTAAAGAAAAGAAAAACACCTTTTACCAATAACTGACTTAAGTATTAAAAAAAAAAAAAGGTATTCATAAATACTTTTGATTTGTCATTTGTATATCTAATTGTGAATCATTCAAATTAGACGATGATGCATGCATAACATGTTGATCTAACGAATATTGCTGATTCATTGTATTTTGATAACGGCAATTAGGTATTAATTGAGATTGTGATTGATTTCCAATTGATTGAATCACTGTAGAAGATGGTACTGGTTGTGATTGTATACCATTATATACTTCTGTTGGTGTAGTTGATGAAACATCATTCTGATCACCAGTAGATACTATTGTTGAACTTGATAAATTATGATAATTTAACGGTGGTGAATGATGTTGATGATAATGATATTGTTGTTGTTGTTGATACATTGGATCAAAAGTTTCTGACCGTTGATATTGATAATGATGATAATGATTAACAGGAGTACTACATATAGGTGCTAATAATTGGTTTTGTTGAATGCACGCTGCTGACGGCTCTAAATACAAATAAAAAATGAAAACATAGAAACAAAACGTATATTCTAGTACTTTTATTCATAATATGCATCACAAGCTTAGGATCGTCACCGCCTCTATCAGGCCATTCAACATTTAATCGTATAGTAACTAGATTGTGTTCAATGACTGAACCTTGACAAGCTTTTAATGGAATTTTAAAAGATTCGATTGGTTCGCTATAAAGAAAATTATTCAAAGAATAAATTAAACAAATAGAAAAATATCCAAAAAAAAACAATTCCTTACCAGCTAAGCATTATAATTAACTTGAAAATAATACAAAATAAAAAGAATCAATTGACAAAACCATAAGACAATTAAAGATTGATATAATCTGCAATACCTAAATAAATATTATGATTCTTTGACAATGGTGAATTTTTATTATAAAAATAAGTAAACAAGCTTATTCTCCTTTTGTTTTTCTTTCCTTCTTCCTTTCTGTCTCTTTTTTTTTTTCGGCTTTACTTGCACTTTTACGCGAAATATTTATGTTCGTTGACTTTTTTTCTTTACCTAGTTTTCTTTTTTCGATTACTTGTTACGCGTCGTTACTGGGTGACGAAAAAGCATATAAATATATATCATCTAGAACAGAATAAAGAAAATGATGAAAGTTAGATATAAATATACGATCAAGTCGTAAAATCAATCAAGAAAATTACAGATAAAATAGTAGATACAACATATTGTTCTCGCAATTAAAATATGCAAGTAATTATTCATACATAGTATATGTTAATATTTATGGAGTTGCCCAGTCTGGGCGAATACCCCAATTCTGTTTTTATTGTCCTACTTCGATAATATATATCAGAAAAATATGATTTTTTAACCAATCATAGTACTGATACACTGCTGATGATTGGTGAAGTCTATGGGGCCTATGACTTACTTGAAACTAAAATAATGGAAGCCTTCAAAAAATCGGTTCATAAAGAGCAGTAAATTTTTTGTAGACTTCGATTAGTTTGGTTTTAAACGAAGTATAGACGTCTTATACTTAACAGATCATCAGCATTATACGAGTAGTATAACTGGTAAAAAAAAGATCATATTTTTCTAATATACTATTGAAGCAGGATAATAAAAAAAAAGAATTGGGGTATCCAGCCAAACTGGGCAATTCCATATATGTATGTATAATTAAAGAAAATTGTCTATGTCAGAAAATTGAAGACAACAAGAACGTATTGAAAAGTAAAAGTTTAATATTCTGAATAAGGATCAAAATCTTGTCGTTGTTGTATTGCAATTGTATTATCAGGTAATGTTGATGTACAAAGATTAGCTAAAGTTGTTAATTTTTCTGCATTTGGATGACGTAATTGTGCCTATTGAGATAAACAAAAAAAGAGATTCAATTTAATTGAGATAAAAGAAATTTTTTTTTTAATTTTAAATAAACGAACGGTTAATTTAAGTTTTTTCATATTTAAATCAAATTCTGACATAATATCAACATTCACTACATCAAATGGTTTTAAAATTTGTTTTATTGTTTGTGGTGGATCATTTTCTTTCCAATAAATTGTTAATTCAGCTGTTTGATTATTTGACATTTTTTTATAATCAGTACGTGGATGATCCAATGGTAAATTCTATAAGAACAAAAAAAAAAAAACTTCTTTTTTTGTTTTTGTTTTGCAACATCAACTAAATAATAAATAACAAAGAAAAAAAAATATTTACATTAATTCCAACACGTAATGGTACACCGATACGAAATAAATAAATATCAAGACTTTCATCTTTGACTCCAACAATGACTGCTTCATCAGATATTGTACCATACTCCTAAAAAAATAAAAATACATACGTTCTATCAGCAAATCATAATACAATTTTATCAAGTGTGTAAGTGATTTTCAATGTAATTCATTAATCATTCATATGAAGCAGTAAAATAAATGACTAGTTCGAACGAAAAATTCGAAGAGAAATACGTTGATTGAAAATCTATGCAAATGCATCAGCAGACATTGAAAACATAATTTTTACAGTGTTTATTTACTTTAAAATGTAGATTTAATATATATATATATATATCTTGTAAAAAAACTAATTAACTATAAAGGAAATTTTAATATCTTGACATTACTTCCGATATTTTTTTTATTGAAAAATGCTTGTCAATATTTATTCATATTGAATTATATAAAGACCTAGAATCAACATTTAAATATAATTCTTAGATTAACCACTTCTGATTATCGAATCAACAACTAATGCATATATTTAAATAAGATTAAAGTAGAAATTATCTAGCGCATATAACGTTCTTCTCGCAAACTTATCAATATAAATTTTCAAATCTAGTTTCATGTTTCATGTTAGCCTTGAAAGCACACTTTTACAGTAACATAATACATTCGATGAAAAAACCATATGATTTTTTTAATATATATTTAAAACTATAGAATCACTTCAAATTTTTGTAATAATAAAAATTTTCTACTAATCTTAATCTTATTTACGACGTTAAAAAAACATAAAACAAGTAATTTGAAACAAACAATTATTGATTTCAATATCTGATTTGCTTACATTTGACAAAAATATAATGTTACTAATACATGATAATAATAGCATTGTCCTTTGACATATAATATAATTGCAAAATATTTACAAATGAGTAGACTCTCCAAAAATCAACGAGTTCGAAGTTCGAACTGAAAAATAGATCAGTATATCAGAACATATTTTTAAATTTGTGTCTAAATATGAATGACGTAAAAAAGAATATCTCTAGTTTTCCACTGCTTTGCGGTATAGAGGGATGTCTAGCGGCAGATTCCATAGACTGACATCTTCCCTATAGTTAATATTAGCTATCAGTGTGAACAAAAGTATAACCTAATAAACAAATCTTACGGGTCATTGCGTAAGCACTTTATAAAGTCTGATGAATCAAAAGCGCATCTATGTGTCAACGCGTGGGTACTATTCTGTGAACCGTGTGATCCAAAACAAACGGTAATCCATGACTTATTTCGAGTCACTCGATAACTAGTGATAACAATGTTTGAAGACAATACTATATGAATACGTGTCGAACAACGTAGTCATTTAGTTATGACAATCTCTTCAATATGAACAACCATAAAAAAAAAGAAACTTCTTAATACAAGGCTACGCATACCATAAATAGTTTTGATTGCTTTGATTAGCAGGTCGTTTTTTGTTTCAAGGTATACTTAATGATGCGTTTCATTAAGCTTTACACTGAGAGAAGAAAAAGAATACAATACTTACTCGCACAAGCACAGCGAGATAAAGTTCAGCACTACGTTCTGAACAAGTTTTAGCATTTAATTTTTTTTCATTACATAATTGTGCTATTTGTTCAAGTGCTCTTGGTGTTTGATAAAGATTATCATTATAATCTAAATACAAAACAAACAAAAAAAAAACAATTCTTTTAAATTCTTTAAAATATCATTTAATTTACTAAGTACAGCCCCAAGTAATCGATGAACAAGTATATCTGGATATCGTCGAATAGGTGATGTAAAATGTGTATAAAAATCTACATTAAGTGCAAAATGTGAATAAATATTATCTGGTACACATGATGCACAACAATAAATAGCTAATTGCATAGATTTTGCAAGTAAATGTATAAGTAATTTTTTTGTTGATTCATTTTCAATATTTCGAATGGCTTTAGCTATATCATCAGATGATTTTCCATCAATTTCAATACCAACAGATTTTAATATTTTAATTGTATTTTGTAATGCTGTTGAATTTGGTGGTGGATGACGACGTAATATAACTTTATCATGTATAGATTCAGTTAAACATAATTTACGTGCAACTTGCATATTTGCTAAAAGCATATATTCTTCAACTAATCGATTACTTTCTTTTTGTTGATAAATTGAGAAACTTAATGGTATTTTACTATCAGGTTTTATTTGATATTGCAATTTTGGTTGATTTAATGTTAATGCACCAATACGTTTTGAACGTAAAATTTTTGATATTTCATATAGATCTAATACAGTTTGTTTTATATCATTTATAGCATAATTATTTGTTATTGTAGGAAAATCTTCATTTTTATATTCTTTATTTGGATGATCAATAATGTCCTATTTGATTAGAAACAAAAAACAAAACAAAGAAACTTGATATTAAATGAACAAATATTGTATATTTTATACCTGAGCGTGTTCATAACTTAATTTAACACACGACCGAATAATACTACGTGTAAATTGTTCATCAAGAATCTAATGGAAAAATTTCAAATAACAATAAGAAAAAAAATCGAGAAAAATGATAAAGACTCTCTTACATTGCCTTTTTCATCCATTATCCATATCACAGAATATGTTAGACGATCTTCATTAGGATTTAAACTACATAATCGATCACATAATAATCGTGGTAACATTGGAATAACCTATGGAAAAAAAATCAAGCAATTTTTTTGGATTAGAATAATTTGAATTTTGGTTTGTTAGTTTTTTTTTTTCTTTCTTACTCGTTCAACAAGATAGACACTCGTCGTACGTTGTGCAGCTTCATTATCAAGTGATGTTTGTTCTTGTACAAAATAGCTTACATCAGCAATATGAACACCAATTCGATAATGTCCTATTATAAAAATATTTTTATTTATTAAATTAATGAAAAGTAGAGATGTTCATTGTGCATCTAAAGAATATTTCTAATAATAAGAAAAGTCTAAATACCATTTTCAAGTCGTTCACAACTAAGTGCATCATCAAGATCTCGTGCTGTTGCTGGATCAATAGTAAAAATACATTTATTTCGAAGATCTAATCGTTTAGAAAATTCTTCATCAGGTATATGCCAACTATCTTGTTCTAATGGTAAGCATTTAATAACCTAAGAATGAGAAAAATATGAAAATAGAAAAAAAAAAAACAAGAATTATTTTTTCTTTTTTACTTCATCATTAAATTCTTCATCTCGAATATCATTTTCCATTAAAATAGCTTTACTTTGAGCTTCAAGTGTATCAGCATCACCAAGACTTTCCATTAATTCTCTGAAAAAAAAAATCATAATAATTATAAAATTTTCTATTTAACATACCCGCGTGCAAATTTTTTATCGGGTGGTATTTCAATAATATTTGCAACGAATAAAGATTTTTCATAATCATTTGGACGATCTTTAAAATCTAAATACAAAAATAAAAATTCAATAAATCTTATTCAAAATCTATCATATTCTTATTTACCTGGTGGACAATTATTCATTGGAATCATTAAACGAGGAA